AGGCAATGAGTACATAACTTGCCAATCGTTGTTACCCCTTTCCTTCTTGTCCCATTATCCTTTCCCTCCCCAACTTCCCACACTCCTCCCCACCCCATCCCACCCCCCTGCCCAAAGTTGTAAAGTTCATTTCCAATATACTGTCCTGTGGGTATCATTGTTGCAGTGGGTCATCCTGTGTCCTTGTTTCAGCATTTTGTTATTCTCCTTCCCCTCCCCAGATTAGACAACTATATATACAAGATACAGGGTACAAAAATAAAATACAATGACAACAGAGGATATACCATAGGGGCAATAGCATACAAAGGAAACAAAAAAGAATCCCATAGAACATTTAAAACAATAACAACAAAGGCAGACCTCTTGTCTTGGGGTTCATTTCACTTAGCATCATCTTATATGGACATATGTACATAGCTTTTGAGCTTTTCAGCTCCTTTGATAAGATTATCCTATATGTATACTCATTATTGCAAATAAAGGAAACATGGGACCTAAATTTCTTTGGGACTGGCTTACTTCACTTAATATGATTTTTTTTCCCAAGTCTTTCCATTTTCTAACAAATGGGCTGGCATTGCTCTTTCTGATGGAAGCATAGAGTGTATATATATATGTAGATATAAGATCTGTCTATCTATCTATCAATCTACACATGCCACATTTTCTTGATCCACTCATCTACTGAGGGCATCTGGATTGGTTCCATATCTTAGCTATGGTGAGTAATACTGTGATAAACATAGTTGTGCTGGTAGCTTTAGTATGGCCTTGTTTGTGATCGTTTGGGTAAATGCTCAAAAGTGGGATTGCTGGGTCATAGGGGAGCTCTATGTGGAGTCTTCTGAGAACCTCCATACTGCTTTCCAGAGTGGTTGAACAAGTTTTCACTCCCACCAACAATGCAGTAGTGTTCCCTTTTGGTCACATCCCCTCCAGCATCTGTTGTTATTAGATTTCTTGATTATAGCCATTCTAACTGGGGTGAAGTTGAATCTCAATTTTTGTTTTGATTTGCATTTCTTTTATGGTCAGAGAAGTTGAACATTTCTTCATGTGTCTATTGGCTATTCTTATTTCCTCTTCAGAGAAGTCTCTCTTTAAGTCTTTAGCCCACTTGTTACAATGGGGTGGTTGTAACTTTGAGGATTTGTTGTTGAGGGATTTAATTTTTTGAGTTCCAAGTATATTTTAGATATGAGGCCCTTATCTGTTGTATAGCTAGTGAAGGTCTTCTCCCAAGTCCGTGGGTTTTCTATTGATCTTGCTAGCTATGTCCTTTGCCATGCAGAAGCTCTGCAGTTTCATGCAATCCCATTTGTCCAACCTTTCTGTGATTTGTTGTGTTTCTGGGTCTTTATTAAGAAAATTCCAGCCCGTGCCAAGGAGCCCTAGAGTTTCTCCTATTCCTTCTTGCAATGTTTTCAGGGTATCTGCTTTTACTTTGAAGTCTTTGAACCATTTGAAGTTGATTCTGGTGCAAGATGATATATAAGGATCTAATTTTAGTTTCCTACAGTTGTTTATAAAAGACTCCAAATAGCAACAATAATCCTTAGCAGAAAGAACAGTGCTGGAGGAATAACAATTCCAGACTTCAAACTCTACTACAGGGCCATAGTAATCAAAACAGCTTGGTACTGGCACAAGAACAGACCTGAAGAACAATGGAATAGAATCCAAGACCCAGAAATGAACCCACAGATCAATAGCCACCTAATCTTCAATAAGGGAGCCAAAAAGATAGAATGGAATAAAGACAGCCTCTTCAGTAAATGGTGCTGGCAAAATTGGTTAAACACCTATAGAAAACTAAAATCGTACCAATTTTTTTAAAAAAACATTTTATAGGGCTGAGAAGTTGGCTCAGTCGTGGAGCACTTGCCTTGCATGCATGGGGCCCTGGGTTCCATTCCTCAGCACCACATAAGCAGAAAAAGCCAGAAGTGGCACTGTGGCCCAAGTGGTAGAGCGCTAGCCTTGAGCTGAAGAGCTGAGGGACAGTGCCCAGGCCCAGAGTTCAGGTCCCACAACTGGCAAAAAACAAAACGAAACAAAAAAAAAATTTTTTTATATCACAAAGAATGTTAGAGTGTGTGAAAGACCTCAAGGGCAGTCAAGGGCAATAGCTTTGAGGCTTCTGTATTTCTTCTTGAACATGTTTAGTCATGCTCAAATTCTTGGTCTTTGAAGTGCCAGGAATAATGTCTCAGACATTTTCAAAATCTCCACAAACTTCTCATGTCCCAGATTTCATTTTTATGAGTTGCTTAGCCCATTGTTTTCCTCAACTATAACTCAGGCATCTGTGAACTTAATCATTGGCCTGTATTTATTTTGGTTTTCACAGTTGGCAAGTTCTGAATAAATTAAAATACAGACAGCTTTGCAAGTGGGATCTTCCAAGGAACTGTCAGTCGTGCCAAATAATGGCAGATTTCTGGGAATGAGGCTTTGAAAGAGCTCTGCCCCTTTCTACTCTCTCCGGTGGCTGCCAGACTATTTTTACTGTGAACAAGAGCTGTTAATTCAAGGCGACCACAGAGCTAGATCCTGAGGGATGAGAATAATGCAAGCTAAAACAGCACAAGGCTCATTTTCTCCGACTGAGATTTACCCACTTTCTTGCATACATGTTCCCTCAATTGTTACAAGCCTTTGGTTAATTTCTAGAGGCCTACAATATTTAACTCTGGCTTAAATTTTTATTTTTTGCAAGCACTCTTACCATCTTTATTGAGGAATTCTTAGTGTTTTTTTCTTAACCATTTCTGCTGTCTCTAAGATTTTTTTGTCAGTCATGGGGCCTGAACTCTGGGCCTAGGCATTGTCTCTCAGCTCTTCAGCTCAAGTCTAGCGCTCTACCACCTGAGCCACAGCACCACTTCTGGCTTTTTCTGCTTATGTGGTGCTGAGGAATCGAACCCAGGGCCTCATGCATGCAGGTCAAGCACTCTACCACTGAGCCACCTTCCCAGCCCCATATTTTATGTATAGTAATATCTTAATATTCATTGTAAATGTGATTAAAACAAATGTACTGACCTGAATGTTTTGGGGTGATTAAGATGCTTAAGTTGACAATTAGGACATCATGGCTCTTGAAAAATATAAAGGTGTATGCAGTTGCTAGCCTTAAACATGTCCCTAAGAATCCTTGCTTCCTGGTGCAGGCTGTGTGTTGTTGCTGCTCTGTGTATCAGTCAGAGCTGGCTTGTGTGACCAGAAGGAACAACATGGAAGCTGTGGTATGTCATTTCTAAGGCTACTTCAGGATGTACATTGCCTCTTCCATTGTGCTCACTCAATGACCATTGCAATTACACAAAGAGATTATTCATAGGAAATCCTCCTTCCATGCTGGGATAATACTCAAGAAGTCCTTTGAGAGACTGATTGGAGATTTGGGAATCCTGACAGGACTAAGGGCCAGCTTTCTGAGCAATCACCTTGCACGTGAGTTGCCTTGCCCAGGCTGGCTCTCCATTAACTCCAGGGCCTTGAAACACTTGATGGAACCTTGGACATGATAAGCCTTTACCCAAGCTGCCCAGCCAAGCTACTCCTGAATTCATGGCTAATAGAAATGGGGAGATGCTTAGTGGTTTTAAACATTTCATTGTTTCAAGCACTTTTACTGTAATTTGCTTCTCAGTAATTGATTACTAATATAGTAAGCAACTGAAAGCATTTATCTACCAAAACCCCCAAGAAGAAATTGGAATATGTTGTAAACAACAAATCAAACAGAAAAGAAAAACCTACTCATGAGAAAATAATTTCCCTATGTGGTTGTAGGGGGTCTTTCACACCCAACAGACTTTTAAGGCTGTATTTATATCAGAAAAGAATTTTGAATTCTGAAGATAGAACACCAAATGATAAGACAAGTGAAAAGCATGATCTTTGCTCTGAATGTAGATACAAAGATCCTAAAAAAAGTTCCTAATAACAATGGTAATCTAGCAGGGTGGAAGTTTCCGGAAATGCATTCTACTTCTATAAAGTTACAGTAGTTTGGGCCTGACACTATTTTAATAGAACTATATTAATGGAAAACAATGTTAAGATCTCAGAGTACATCAGTCCTAACATTGATTATCCACTGGCCCAATCTTTCAATATATAGCTAAATTATTTTAATTTATATAATATACATAAATAATCTGTCAATGAATATATGATATATCAATATGTGATGATGGGTCAACAGTAGAAGTATATGATAAATGTAATACTTTAGGCCACATAGACATATTTCAAATATGACTTATTTACAATTATTTATTTAAATTATTTAAAATTTAAATAACTTATTTAAATTACAAAGCCATATTTCAAACATTTAAAAGATGTGATTTCCATTGAATTTTATTGACAGGCTACATGGAATAATTACCTTCAATCAAAAAGTAGCTCTTAGGAAAACTCATAAGATAGCATCCATCTGCAGTAATTGAATGAGGATAATAATGTAGAGAAGAAGAAATTCAAGTGTCAATAGATCTTTGAAAAAAAGTGCAGTTTAGGTGGGAATCAAAAAGCTAATACTTATTTTCTAACAATTTGTCCACGTTTTCTAACAACAAAAACCACAGTGCTGGGTTAATTTGAGAGGTAAAAGGTGAGGTGAATTTGATTGGCAATTTCTTTTGGAGAACAATTTTATCGGCAATAATTTTATTGGAAGTTTTATTGGCAATTTTTTTAGCTATTGACTTATAAATAAGTTCTACTTCATGCTTGAAATATGAGCTCTTTGTAATTGCTTCTTTGTATTGTCTTATTATTAATAATCATGAATGCATCATTTTTAACAGTACAATTACATTTTGGGAACGGTACAAACTCTGTTGGTCCTTTCACAGGAAAGAATTGGGTAGCTGGTTGCAGAGGAGTGAGGAGTTTGATACCATTTTCTTCATGGAAAAGGCTAAGCGCCAGCGGTAATGGCCGTGTGGCCATAGGGCTCATGGGTTCTAGAAGGTGTCACATACCTGCAAGTATCGGACCACTCGGCAGACCAGGTCAGGCGCCATGAAATCTCCAGTGAACCGCCAAATAATATCTGTCAGGATGTTGACCAGCCCTGTGAAAGAGTCTAGCAAAAATACATACTGCTTAATCTCAGTCTCTCATCAAGATGTGGGTATTGGTGCTGTAGAGATGACTCTGGGAGAGATTTTATTTTGTCTTGTTTTGTCCCTGGCCACTGAGGAATAGGGAAGCAAAGCAAGGGTCCTTGGGCTGATAATATTGGAGCTGTAACCACCTAGGAAGGATTTCAGTGGTGACTTAGGTGGAATCAAACTCATCATACAGCTGACCTTTGAGATCACAGAAGAGGAGAGCTGTGGTAAAGAAGGCAAAATTGAAGACACTAAAGGCTAACTCAGAATTCCTCTTCTACCTTTTACTTTACAGGTTGGATCTCTAATCTCTCTATCCGCAATTCTAGTCTCCTTTTCCTCAAATTTCTCTTCTCTCAACATCTGCCCTTGGAAACAGTCAAGCACACCACCTATGAATTTGATTAAGTGGGAGTGGGCACAATGTGTGATGTTGATGTCACATGTTAATCTTTATCAGAAAGCTCCTAGAAGCACTGCACAGCCATGTGAACAGAATGACTTGTCCAGGTGGCATTATCTGGGTCTTGTCACTGCTCAGCCCTGTGGTGACATAGTGAGCATGTGGATGGGGATGAAGTGACAAAGAGGAGAGCCACTCATGGCCAACACTGGCTATACCTAGTGTAGTCAGAGTGCCAACAGCAGAGTCAGCAATGAGCGCTCAGCAAGGGATTGTTTCTCTCTCTCTCTCTCTCTCTCTCTCTCTCTCTCTCCCTCTCTTGGTTGTGGGTCTTGAACTCTGGGTCTGGGCTGTCTCTGAGCTCTTCAGCTCAAGGATAGCACTCTACCACTTGAGCCACAGCGACACTTTTCATTTTCTGGTGGTTAATTAAAGATAAGAGTCTCATGGACATTCCTGCCCCAGCTGACTTTGAACCGCCATCCTCAGATCTCAACCTCCTGAGTAGCTAGGATTACAGGCATGAGTCACTGGCCCTTAGCAGGGACTGTTTCTTGAGGACACCAACTGGATTCTTTGGGTCAAGTTAACATTGTTTCCTCTCTGTTCTGCATGGAATAGCTGTACATCCTACCAATTGTATACTTATCCGACTACAAGCTAGCACCAACATCACTCACAACACCAGTTTCCTAACTGGGATGGAAACACACAGTGTGTTATCTGATAGTGGAAAAAACCATCACAGAGAAGGGAGTGTGGGATTGAACTCAGGACCCTGGAACCCGTTGTTCGTGCCACATAACATACTACCATGAAGATGCTCTTCTTCCAGAACCCTGGTGTAGCTTCCTTAGGATCAGAGCAAGTGCGGCTTAAAGGCAATGCTAGAATGACAGGACAGCAGTCCACCCTTCACAGTGAAGTGGAAGGAATCAGATCCTTCTGTGGTGCTGGTGTATAGGTCCCAGAGATAAGAGCTAGAGGAAGGAATGGCCTCAGCTGATAAGGCACCCAACCTGTGTCTGCCTGCTCTTGTTTCTGTATAGGAAACAATGTTAAGAAGTTTCAGCCAGCACCAGCACCAGAGAATTGCATACAACAGATGGATCAAAAGCTTGGAGAAGACAAATCCCATAGCAGTTCTGGCAGGTGACAAATGAGAAAGGCAGATGTGGGCGGGGTCTTGAGCATTGTGGGTTGTGGCTGGTCAAATAGGAGCTGCAGGATGCTTTTACTGGGAGAATGGGCTGACTGAATGAGCAGGATATGGGGGTGAGAAGGCACGTGGGTATTCCCTTGTGATTTGCTCACTGTTTAATTGAAAAATAAAGGAAAACAGACTGACGTTTCTCAAGACCTAAGTAGTCAAATGAACAACTCCTCCTCCATAAGCATCCTCCTAAATAAGCTTATTTCTGGGAGCAAACCATCTGAGGAGTTATGCAATTGGGTTTGTTAGTTGCTATTAAGCAAATGATGCTAGATAGATCTGATCAGTAAAAAGCCATTTAGTTACCTAAGTAATGATGTACACTGCAAATAAACTGCTCCTAAGTGGTAATTAAGAGGGCTTTGGGAACAAAGGGCACACTTTAAAGGTCTAAACACATCCATATATTACTCCTGCTTTTAAAAATTTGCTCTGTAAATGAGCCTAGGATGTGGTAACACTCAGAAAAGCCAAAGCAGACTACTAGCCAGCAGGCTTTGTTGTTTCTTTGAGGGTGTCTTACACAAGAGAATGTGCATTCTTGCTTGGATGATAAACATGAGTGGAGGGGGAAGAAGCCAAGAATAAGGAGACAGCAGAGAAAAAGTTGAAAGGACCAGTAAGGGTGGGTTGAGGGAGAAGGAGGTGAAGGATCTTGATCATAGCTGCAGGTAAGGGTAGGAGCAAAGCTATACAGGTAAGAAAATGATAGATAAGGCTGTGTGTGGAAAACAACATTTGTCTGTCATTGCTAGTACCAAGAACAGGAACCAGAGGTAGCAGGAGATGATGTGAAGACCCACCAAGAATCTGGACCTTTTAAGGAGCCTACATTCTTTTCTTTATTCCATAAGAGATAGGGAACATTTATGTCTTCCAATGTGAATTCTAAGTCAATGTCTTTAGTCACTGTGGAGAGGATTAATTGGTAGGTCCAATACTGAACTTGTCATTTATATTATTTAGGGAACTGAGCAGAGTTGAGAAAGAGATAATGAGTTTCTAGTGTATGTAAACAGGAGATCAGGAAGATAGAGAATGATGCAGAATTGAGCTGTGCTTCATTAAGATGAAACAGAGAAGTTCAATGGTTGAATGTCCCTGGTAGATGACTGGCTCTTAGAGTACAAGCCATTAAAGTTAGCTAAAATGAGACCCCGATGAGCTTAGATTTTAATTGGGGTTTTAGACAATTTACATCTTATTGAAAGTCAACAAGGAACTGAGGCAAAACTAAACCTGGTTCAGTTCAGGAGCAGATTGATTCAATACTTCACTTGAATAGTCATAGAGAGGTATGGTCACTTTGAGGGAAAAAATACTATTTTTTATTCATCTCTTAGGAGCTTCTATATACAATTCTGTGTCTGCCATCTAAGCAAACTTTTGGATGTTCTGTTAAAGGGGAGATGCCAGAAAGCTTTAACCCTTCACTCTCTGCTTCCAGCTGTGTCTAAATCACTCTGTGCTTGCTAAGGTGATGGTGTAAGGTTTGTCTTCTGTTCCATCTCAACCTTAGTCATATGCAGACCTGTGTTTCTGGTCACTGTGGATGCTGCCATTCTTTATTTTGGTCGGTCATGGGGTTTGAACTCTGGGCTTGGGCGCTGTCCCTGTGCTCTTCAGCTCAAGGCCAGAGCTCTACCACTTGAGCCACAGCACCACTTCCAGTTTTCTAGTGGTTTATTGGAGATAAGAGTCTCACGGACTTTCCTGCCCAGGCTGGCTTTGAACCACAATCCTCAGATCTCAGCCTCCTCAGTAGCTAGGATTACAGGCCTGAGCCACCGGCGCCCAGAGATGCTGCCATTCTTAACTATGCTAAATCTTCCTCCCATGAAAATAAAACTTCTGCATTGGGTCTGTAATGGGTCCTGCCTATGGGGCATGTTCAGACCCTCTTCTAGCAATAGGAAACTTTTAATTGTACCGAAATGGCCATCTCTTGTGTCTTTCCTCAAGATGCAAGGGATTTCTATCATTATTGTTGTTGTTATTATTATTATTATTGCTGTTTTTGTTGTTATAACCTTTAACCTGTGCTCTGGGGGCCAATGCTTGGCCTCATAGTAGCTAATGTTTCTGTTGAGAGAAGAATATAGGCTGGAAGAAAGGTTCCTATGGCATTTCTTCAGGCAGGGACTCAACCTTCCTATCTATCTGCATACAGTATCTGCAACAATTAGTCAATTCTGCCATCATGTTTTTGAAGCAGTTAGAGACGAGTCTGGACTGAATATGTTTGGCTGTGTGCTAATAAGACTTTATTTGTAAAAATAGGTTGCAGAAGCCAGGTACTGGTGGCTCAGGCCTATAATCCTTGCTACTCAGGAGGCTGAGATTTGAAGATCAAAGCCAGCCAGGGCAGAAAAGTCTATGAGACTCTTATCTCCAGTGAACCACCATAAAACTGGGAGTGAAGCTGTGTTCTGAAAGTGGTAGAATGCTAGCCTTCAGCACAAAAACTCAGGGACAGCCCCCAAGTCCTGAGTTTAAACCAAATGACTGACCAAAAAGAGAAAAAAGAAAAAAAGTAGGTTACAGGCTGCATTACAGGCTGTGGTCTATCATTTCCTGGTCTTTAGCACAAACTTTAAATGGCTTCTTCTGATGTCTGGCAGCTTCCTGTCTTCCATTTAGTCTGATCATTTTCTCATCTGATTACAATTTCATTCTATGGGGAGAAACCTTCTCAATTAGCCCATTGATACCAGCAACTGATCAATGGATCAAAACATTGACTAAAGAAAAAAGCCCACGGATTAGGAGAAGATCTCCACTAGCCATACAACGGACAAGGGTCTCGTATCTAAAATATACCTGGAATTCAAAAAATTAAATCTCCCAACAAGAAATCCTCAAAGAAACAACTGCCTAATAAATAAGTGGGCTAAAGACGTACAGAGAACCTTTTCTGAAGAGGAAAGAAGGATGGCCAATAGACACATGAAGAAATGCTCAACCTCCCTAGCCATAAAAGAAATGCAAATCAAAACAACACTGAGATACCACCTCACCCCAGTTAGAATGGCTATCATCAAGAACTCTAACAACAACGGATGCTGGAGGGGATGTGGACAGAAGGGAACCCTACTGCATTGTTGGTGGGAGTGTAAACTTGTTCAACCACTTTGGAAAGTAGTATGGAGATTCCTCAAAAGACTCCACCTAGAGGGCTGGGATGTAGCTCAGTGGCAAAGCACTTGTCTAGCAAGTGCAACATCCTGGGTTTGATCCCCAGTACCAAAAAAAAAAAAAAAGACTCCACATAGAGCTCCACTATGATCCAGCAATCCCACTTTTGGGCATTTACCCCAGTGATAACAAACAAGACCAGACTAAAGCTACCAGCACAA